TATAAGTAATGGCATTAGGTGAGTCAGTTAGAGAAAAATTCACGATTTTGGCAAATTAGGTTTATTGAAAAAGATTAAGATCAATCAAGAATTCAACTAAGAAAACACTCAATGTCCATAACAAGTATCAATAAAATCCCCACCACTGATTCATGCTGTTGGTCAGGTCTTGTTTATGAAAAAAAATTTATCAGCTGAAACTTAAGGACTATCTAAGATAGTTTTTAGTAAAAATGTTTCTTCCTTTTAGAAGAGGAAAAAACCATAACAGTCCCCGGTATTTGACTTGATCACCGACACACACACAAACAATCATTCTTTTCAGTTTGGCAAACCACAAACAGGCAATCTAACTAAGCATTGGTCCCAACAAAAATAACCTTTTCCATGCACCCTGATAGTCATTCATCACTATCCAAATGTAATTTGGTCAACCCTAGGGACCTAGTTCATTCTACAAATCTACTGAAAAGCTCAGGGCCATTTGGTTTGAGAAAAGAATTTCTATTTTCACCTTTTGTTTTCACTTTTAATGATAAAAATGTCGCATTAATTTTACTTGGTTTTCTATTTTCACAAGTTTGTAGTATGTATAGGACATGGTGAAAAAACAACCATAAAAGGTTATTGTCACTGATTTCTTCACAAACTTTTGAAATAGTGAGAAAATGAAAACAAAATGGAACTTTTGTTATTAAAAATAAAAATAGAGAATGAAGAATACACCCAATTAATTTAAAACCATAACAACTATAACCCTACTTATTTACCAGGAAAATAATCACACCACTAGCAAAACTCCTTAACCATAAAACTTCCAAATAAAACATTAGATTTTTCCCCCCAAATTTTGTCCTACCTCGTAGCACAGTAAAATTTCCGATTAAGAAAAAGAAAAGAATACAAATAACCAATAAATCTCCATACATCAATATGAAGAAGGTTCCATAATTTGTCCAACATGAGATGCATCTTGCAGTTTCAAAGAAAGGAAAAACCGTAGGCACTAAAATACATACTAGAAACAGAGCAAAATGATTGATGGAGGATCAGAAACACACCATGTGCAAATGTTTTTCATGAAGCTTTAAACGGCCATTAATTGCCATATGGTGCATGGTTTCTAAAGCTTGTAAGCGAACCACCGCAGAATCATCATTCAACACATCCATTAATGAGTCTAACGCTTCACGTGCAAACTCAGCAGATAGGCTTGTCAGTGTGCGTAAGGACTCACATACAGACTTCCTCACCTTCATATCAGGCACAAATGAAGAAAATACTATCAAACAATCACACAAGGAAAAAACACTATAACTATACCAGATTATTGCTGTCAATTTTAGATACCTCAAAGAACTCATCCTCAAGTCCATGAACTAGTGCACCAGCAACACTACTTGCCAACATGACACATTGTTCAGATGTGCTCTGACCCCCGGTTTCCTTTTGCTTTCCATGTCCTGAAACTCTCTTTGCTAAACTTTGTAAAAGAAGATCCTCCGATACCATTTCCATCTTTCTGAGGCCATTAAATGCTTCAACTCTAACCTTCATATTCATATCTCTTGCCATGGAGCATAGCTATATGAACATACAGTGAAGGAGTTACGTCATACTGAGGGATCAGGCAACAACTGTCCGAAATTCTAGAAAACTAAAACAGATACGTAAGACCAAAAAACTTGAAACATATGAAGCCCAATACTACACCTTGGCAAATACGTCATTGGACCAATAGGCTTTCATCTCTGAGCTAGAAGCTGCCAACATCATACCCCATGAAGCCACCTGGAATATATAATCATTCAAAGACTTACCACCATCAACTAGCTCAAAAAAGAATATTAATCATTCGACAATTGACTGAACTCAACAAGAACACTATCTGATTGACACTAATACTAAAATATCAGATTTTCTCATTTCTAATATTTCCGCAACACAATAACTAGCAATAATAAAAAAGGACTTGACACTTCGTTTAAATGTCATCTAAAAGTATTCCCTACATCACATTGGGCATTGTCTGTTGGTGATGTAGATTATATCAAATTAATCTTAAATGCAGTACATACTCTCATTCTAAAAACGAGCACTTCTACATCATATTGGCCCTTCGTTTATATATCCATTGGTCTTCAAATTACTAGAAGACCAATTTCATGGTATTAACCGACTGAAATACTATGATGTCACCATGGTTTTAAATGCGGTTCACTGCAGTCATCGTATTGCAGTTATCGTATTGCAGTTTTTAAATACCAGCAATTTGTCCACAATTTCAATAATTATTATAGTTAAAAATCATGGGCATCACTATATATTGACAACTTGTATAATTGAAATATACTTTAATAATATAAGGTCATTTTAAAAATTTCTCCAAAAAATTAATTTGAAAGTCACCTTTAAGGAATTCGTGTTCAAACTTAAAATCTCCTTTCAAGTTAACTATCCTAAAAAAAATATCTACACTGTAGTTGCAGGATTTATCAGCATAAACAAATAGTCGTGGTAACATGGCTGGCCAGGACCGAATTTGGCTTTCTTCGTCTTTGTGATTCTCGGAGAGAAAACAGGATCACCCAGTCTTTTTCTAAAATTTAATTAGCTTATATAATTTAATCAAATTATATAATGATCATTTTGGGTAAGAACTAATGAAAAATAAAAATCTTTAAAATTATCTTACTTTAAATTCAAAACATTCAATTAATTATTACAACAGTTAATTTATATTCTCAAATGCAAGCACTTTTAAGACCACAAATTACATTCTTAACCTCCATCTCGTTTTTGCAGAATATCATCCAGTAAAATCAAATTAAATACTTTCATCATTCTCTCTTTTTTTCACTCACTTAGGAGTGCATTCACACAAACTCTTGATCAACCAACCAAAATTACGTCTCACAATTGATCTCCTTCACCCTCTTATTCATAATTTACTCTTTCTCTAAAATTCAAATAATTAAAAATAACCATAAAAATAATTTAAATAATTTATTAAATAAACTAAAAAAATTATATAGGAGAATATTTATCTATTGAAATTTTATTATATATAATTCATCCATCCAAACGTTATCATAAATTTATATTATGTAATTTAGTTTGTAGAATGTCTAAGTTAAAATATTAGTTTTTCCCATTACAAGGGCAAAGGAGTAAAAATAATCTGTGATGAAATAAAGAAATTATTGGAAGAGGGAGAGAAAAGGAGGAAGAGTCTATGGGGATGAAAATGATAGCAGAAGAGAACCTTACCACGCGAACCGCAGAGTACCTAACGCAGGGATCGAAGTCCCGAAGCAATTGAACGGCACGTCGGTAACACGCATCGACCAAGCCAACGTCTTTCAACTCTCCACCGCGCTCGATGAATCGGACGAGCCCTTCAAGCGCCGCGTCTGTAACGTAAGGGTAAGGATCCTTCGTGAACCCCAGCAGCACCGCCAACAGCAAGCCAGGTCGGACCTTGAAACTCGAACCCGCGTTCCGGAGCATCCACGCGCGGGCGGACACGGAGGCGCAGAAGCATAGCGATGTGAAGCGCGCGTCGTCTAGATGGAGGCCTGAGAGGGACGCGCCGATGGCCTCCACAGTGAGGCGGGGGGAGGACTCGGCAGTCGGAAGAGCCATGATGGTGGCGAGGTCGGGGTGGCGAGAAGCGCCGTCGGAGAGGAGCTGGAGAGAGTGAGTAGTGGGGTATAGTGAGATAAAATAGTCAGTTTATATCTAATAACAAAGTAACTATGCAGAATTACATGACTATGCAAAAATTCACTATGCAAAGCTGAAATTTAAAACTAATATACTGACTATCAATATGAACATATAAAATCTAAACAAACCTAATACTGCTATAATCAACTAAACAACAACTAAGCAATTTCAAATTCATCTAACTCTTCTGCACTCAAAGTACAGTATTGATCATTAATGTTTTCAATCTTCTCATTGGGAGGAAAACCTGAACAAGCAGTGAGGCAGGGCAAAACTAATTACAAGAACACAAGTAAAAGTAACTTTAGTATTATATTGAATTCCAATTATTTATTAATTTTTATTAGAAAAATATAAAATAATAAAAAATAAATGCAAAAATCAGTTAAAATAGAGGTAACACTACACCTTGTATATCCTGTGATAAAAAACTTCAAGCAACCTAAGCTCGGTTTGAGGGGACGACAATTCCACCTATGAGAACAATAATAAATGAGCAAGAATTATATCAAAAGAGTCACCACTTCAATAACAAACTGGAGCACTCAACAAACACAGTATACATGCTTCACGTATTTACTTTTTTAAAATTAAAGGAGATTGAGGATATGATTTCAGTAGTCAGTAAGAGTAAGAATACAATCTATGCATGGTAAATTTACAAATGCCATGAGTAAAGTAACTCATTGAGATCAGAACCTAAAAAATGTTTAAAAAAAAGGTACGTGCAGATACAAGTGTAGTTGTTAAACAAATAAAATGTATTTAATCAATGTAAAATGTAATGATCAATTCAACAGTCTGAAATGAGTTCAAGTTAAAAAAGTGTTATATTGTACTCACAAAATCAACTCCGACGGTGTTTATGTAGCTCTCAACGTATGAATCATCCTGTAGCACAGCATTGAAATTAACATTAAAGGTAGTAATTTTAAAAAACAGTATTGAGCATTTATTAACTGTTTCTAAGACAATACAATATGAAAAACAAAGCATTAAGGTTATACTCTTACGCATATGTACTTTAGATAACTAACAAATTGTGACAAAGCTTCAATCATCCAAATAAATAGCAGCACTTGAAGATCTCACTTCATCTTGAAAAGTTATCTATACAAAAATAAAATAAAATATTCCATAATTTTTGAACACTTAAAATATAAATTAAAAAATATATAAACTTGTCGTATAATCTCACCTTGTTCATGTATTCTTATTCTTTTTCAGGTTATCTGCTTGGAAACGTGGATGTGTTTTCTGATAAGTTAAATAATAACCATCAGAAAACAATATAATCTCTTTATTTTTTAAAAAAGAAATATAACTTTATCCTCTTTTTATGCATGAGAAACATAAATTAAATTCAATAACATGTATTTACAATGAAGAAAACCAGCAAAATTTAAAGCCAATAATGAGAGTTGATTATTCATCAGATCTTAACATTTCCATCCCCACGGTATACAGCAGAAACACACATGAAACTAGAAATGCTAAAATAACATATACCAGGTTGCTAACTGCAGACACATTTTCCAGAATTCCTTTTCCCCCAAAAAAGCCACGACCCAGAGGACTATATGAAACAATGCCAATAATAAGTTCCCTGTACCAATAGAAACATTAGATTAACACAAAAATTCAGCCAGCACATTCTCCATAACTCAGCAATTTTCTTTATCATCCTCACACTGTTATTGTTTTCAGGAATTTAATGTAGGCGTGGAACGAAAGAAAGTCTGTATTTGTATTTAAGGATGTACAAAAAAGAATTACGATAGATAAAATAATAATTATAACAAAATTAAAGTACTAATAATGATGATAATAAATAAAAGATTTCACTCTGCCCTCTCTTCCTCTTTCTTTTCTTTTTTCTATTTTTTTCACTCAGATCCCAGATCCACACATACAAGAGTTCCAGTGGCATGAAGTTAAAAAGAAAATGGAAGTAACCTGCAGAGTGGGATTATCTCTTCCTCAACGTCACGAGTCCACAGAGACCACTCCAGTTGCACAGCTGTGATGGGATGAACTGCGTGCGCTCTCCTTATAGTATCTGGACTCGCTTCAGATAATCCAATATATTTCACTTTACCCTCTTCCACCAGTTTCTTGAGTTCAACCACCTAAAATATAACAAACTATTTAATTACATAATGTGTTGTATATCAGGAAAATCATAGATAGATTTCTGAAAGGAAGAAATCATTAACTGTATCCTCTATAGGTGTAGATTGGTCCACTCTGTGCTGATAATAGAGATCAATGTAATCAAAACCAAGACGCTGCAAAAACTGAGCATTTTCAAGCAATTGTCATTTCACAAATCATTTCAACACGAAAGGACTTTTGAAGTCAATATCAATAATCAGATGGTAAGAATCAACGCAAGAAAAAAATACCGAGAGACCATGGATTTCATCTGTCAAAAGCTAAACAAGACACAAATATACCTCAGGTAAAAAAATGCTGAAAATCACATCGAACCATTAATGCATTATGAAATTAATATGGACAATGCGACTAGGGTTCACACCAAAAGTCCACGGCGACCTTGTAAACTCACTCAATTTTATTTATCTCTTTTGAAAAGGAAGGGAAAACATCCGTAACCTGGTTGCAGATTTGCTTCTCTTTCCGGTGAGAAGTGTTCTCAGAACCTTCGACGATGGTGCTAGAGCCTTTAACAGTTCCGCGACAGCAGAGTGCGGCAAAGCCTTTGACGACGGATGTAACAAAAGGTCCGGAGAAAATTGTGATTGAGAAAGGAAATAAGAATGATGGAGAAACGGAACAGGAAAACTGAAACCATAGTTAACTAACTCTACTGAAAATAAGTTCAATATTTTTAAACTTAACTGTTAATAAGTATAATTAGTTTTTTAGTAAAACTCAAATTTATAAAATTAATTAACATCGAATGTTTATAACTTCACATCGGTAGATTTATATTTGATTTAAAGTTAAAAAAGTATTTATAGAAAAAAATAGACAATTTTATTAAAAGTAATTTATTACTTCCAATTTAATTATCACTTTGATGAACTTTAAACTCTGTATGTTTTTCAGACTTAAAGTTGTCAAAATGGATAACTCAGGCGTAGTCCAGTTCATCATGGTTGGTCACTTAGTGAGCAACTCAACTCGGCTCACTTGTTAGCGAGTTGAAAAAATTTGAATCTCGCCCAACCCATCATGAATTGGTGGGTTAAACGGATTAGCTCATTTAATTATAAGTGTTTTCTAAAATAAAAAAATTACAATCGTTCGATGTAACCGTCCTCTGTCCTTCAGAGATAAGATATTGTCTGTTTTGAGTTAAGCTTTCACGGATTTGTTTTTAATACCACTCTATAAAATTTTTACCAATGGAGATATCTAATGTGTATACAAACTTATATCCATCTCTTATTTTATCGGATGGGACATTATTTATACCGAACACCTCCCTCAAACAAAGTGTTATAATTCTCCTTCCTTTCCTTAATGGGAAATTTTTTCTTATCTTCGAGTAGACCACGTTCAATACGGAACATCTTTTAGTTTCTCTTTTATAAAAGACCAACACCTGTACATTTCATATTCTAATATTGTTAACTTGTAAATCACCCTCAATCAAACGAGAGAGCGCGGGCACGATGGTCCCACGCATCACATTCGCTTCCTAAATCAACGGCTAGAAACGCACGATCTGACATAGCCGGTTCAACCATCCAGATTCGCGATTTCTCTATTACATTATTTCACGTTTAAAATAAAAACGTGAAAAAAGGGCGTCATTTCCTCGCCACACCCTGTTTCGTGAAGCGTAGTGCATCAAGATCTCTCTATCTCTCTCTGAAATCGAAAATGAGCAAGGGACCTGGTCTCTTCACCGATATCGGCAAAAAAGCCAAAGGTGAACGAACACGCTCTCTAACATTCTTCGTTATTCATTCCTCCTCATCGCTTTTATCGATCGAAGAAAAATTAAACTAAGCAGTTTTGATTTGTTATTGCTTGTAGATCTTTTGACTAAGGACTACACCTCCGATAGGAAACTCACAGTTTCATCCTATAGCAGCGCCGGAGTTGTAAGCTCTTCGAACTTCCATTATAAATAATATATTGTTTGTATGTGTACGATTTATCGTCAATTACATTTTTGTATGTGAGGTATTGTGGTCAAGATATAATGCGATGCTATACGCGAAAATTAATTTATTCGCACTACAAGGTTGCTGATGAGAGTTGCTCGTTCCTTAAAATCCTTGATTACCTGTTGTATTGACTTTTTTTTGGTAAAAGTCGTTTATCTCCAGTTCGCTTATTTTAATTTGTATTTTTGTCGATTCCGCATTACATTGTCAGTACGTGAAGTTAATCGTATAGGGTAGACAGATTCTTCCCTTTTGCAAAATTAAAAATAAAAGGAAATCGAGGATGTTGGATAGTTAAAATTATTCTGTCTGAATCTGTTTGATGCGTTCTATTCATTTTGTGAGTTCTTTTTTTTTTTTTTGCTTCCTCCTAATCCGTATTAGGAATACAAGTATAAGCTGAAACTTCCAAAAGTTGAGTGGTATGTAAGAAAATCAATAACCATTAACCCTTAAGGTTTTATGTGGAATGTGATGTCAAGTATTTTATCTGGGCAACTCATACCTTACAGTGGTCAATCTCCCTGGTTTATCTCACTAAAATATTTTCAAATACCTGTATCAGAGTCCACGGACTGGTCTTGATGTTCGATAGGAATGGCAGCCCGCATGAGCCAATGATGGGGCTGGCACGCTTAACCCAAAAAAATAATTATCATATTTTAATTTTAAGTCAAACAGAACTCTTTTATTTTATTTTTTTATTTTGTAATTCCTCCGTTCTATACTTGAAACTCTAAGTCATTTTTTTAATCTGCATTTTAACATCGATTAATTGCTATAGTTTTTTTTAACTTAGACAATAATTTTTTTTTGTTCATGAAAACATATTTATTTGATGTAAATCTCAATCTTTATGTTTATTTAGTTTATTTCGATTATTGTCAATGATAAACTTATGAGTTCCAACAAAGATGTGAAACATTAAAACAATATTATTGTTACATTATTTGTATGAAGTTTTTTTCAAGATTTTTATGTTGGTTGGCTCACAGGCCCATGGACCGATTATTATTTGGGCAAGTCAATATTCTTATGTGGGGCGGCCTAGCCTAACCTGCTTTTTGTGGGTCAAAATGGGTCGTGACAGCCTGCATTGCCATCCTTAGCGCCTGACTAAGATGGAGACAAGTATGTCCCCAGTGTAGTAAGACCCAACCACATTAAGGGTCCGTGGAATTGTGTTGGGATAAATGAGTAGAACAGGTATGTCCTATTGTGATAGAAGCCTGTTGTAAAACCCAGCTCGCACTTGTGAGAGAGACGGTTAAGAATCCAAGTATGAGTTGAAAGCTCAACTGGATTAGAAATGAAAATGTTGAGTGGTATATAAGAAAATCAAGACCCACAAACATTAAGCCTTTAGGTTTTGTCTTATATGAGAACTCATACCTCAGAAGTGGTCAATCTTCCTATTCTATCCCAGAAAAAAATAAAATTCAACTGTCCATTATGTCCATTAGAAAGGGACATTTGGCTTCAAAATATGCAGTCTGACATACGAGGGTTCTTATCAATTATCAGCTAATACGGCATCATACAACGGAGCATTTGGCTTTCATAACAGGCAATCTGACTTATGAGTTCCAATGAACTATTATTTGATGAAGTTATTTGTACAGAAATCAATCTTTATCCCATTGTAGCATCATTGTTTTATCAAAATCTTAATTAATGGATGGTGACTGGGGAATAGGACTGTATGAACAATACGTGGAGAAAAACAAAAAAGAGATTGTATGTTTGGATCTTATTGGAGTGCATGTTAAACAGTGATATTAGAAAAGTGAGCGACTCATGATAAGCAGTGAAACAGTGATATTAGAAAAGGGAGAGACTCGTATGATAAACAGTTAAACAGTTAAACAGTGATATTAGAAAAGGGGGAGACTCACAGTCTCATAAGAATATCGTTGAGACTACAACTGACTATTTATACGGACTAATGAATGTGCTAACAGAATTACAGATCTCTAACTAACTGATATAACAGTATCATAGGTATCTAACTAACTAATGTGAACGGGAAGGGTTGATTGATTCTTGTGTGCACGTAGGTTTGTGCAGAAGAGAATTGATGTCATCTACCATAAGTTTGATGCAAGAAGTAGTATGAATTTGGAATCATATGTAAGTGAAATTTGGATCCAAGTGTTACAAGCTATATTAAAAGGGGAAATTCTTGACAGTTATTGATTACTGATAAAATTTATCTTGCTGTTCATGCTAGTTTTGTGTTTTTGTGTACCCAGTTTCAGAATTCTGATATATTCTATTAAAGCTGATGATTTTATTTTTTTTTACAAGTAGACATAATGTGTTAGGAGATGGAGGGTATATGAGAGAAGGAATAAAACTTTGAATGCCTAACTGCCTTAGCAGTTAGGAAGGGCGGGAATTCGATTGTATAAATAGCTATTGAATAGCTATGTGGAGTTAGTTGGTTGTTTAGTAGAATTCTAACAGGAAACTATTATTCTTATGGGGGAGGTTAAGCTCTCAATTGTTCATTGTACATTGTGTTCTTGCTGTTGATAATACAAATAGGAGTTATACAGTCAGACTGGTGTGTTAGTCTGGGTGTGTTAGAGTGAGTTTCTTTAGGTTTCTTGATCAGAAACCTAACATTTGGTCCGACCTTCCGGATCCAAATTGGGCATGAAAACGATAATGGAGAGAAGTACGGAGGGGTGATTGGAGGCAATTGAGATCACTATGGAGGGGATGAAGGCGGAGTTTGCCGCAGTACGAAGGGACTTACAACAGATAATGAGGATACTGGGGCTGCAGGTTAATAGCACGGAGGGGCAGTCAAATGATAGCTTCGTCAACGAGAATCCACGGCGACGAGAGGAGCATGTTGGAGGCAGAGGGGTCGACGATCGCCAGGAAGATCAGAGACCGTGGCGGAAACGGGTGGATTTTCCCACATTCGAAGGGTTGGAACCCCTTAGTTGGATCAATAGGGCGGAGCGTTTTTTCGATATACAGAAAGTGACGGGAGAAGAAAAGGTGGAGCTCGCGTATCTTAGCATGGAGGGCAGTGCGACTTACTAGTTTAAGTTTTGGAAAGAAAAGGCCAAGAACCGTTCTTGGGAAGGCCTTAAGGCAGCCATGGTCAATCATTTTGGAGGCGGATTCCGGGGGACGGTGTTCGAACGATTGGCAACCCTGCGACAGGAGGGTACCGTGGAAGAGTTCGTTCGCGATTTCGAAATACTGGTAGGGCAAACCTGGGGCGTATCGGAAGAACAGGTGTTGGGCTATTTCCTTGCTGTTGATAATACAAAGAGGAGTTATAGAGTCATCCTGGTGTGTTAGTCTGGGTGTGTTAGAGTGAATTTCTTTAGGTTTCTTGATCAGAAACCTAACATAATGACAAGCGTTTTAAGATATCTACTAGGGGATACAGAACATGAATTATCAAAACAAGTAGCGCACCTTTAGGTATAAAGTATCCGGTGACTGGATGGTGCATGAAAAAGGTCATCAAAGAAAGGTTGATAGTTGGGGGTAGGGGTTTGAAGAAATTGTCTGATGGTTGAAATTTGATTTCTGATATCTAAGAGATTGAAAGTATACGATTGAGAAACTAAATGATCAATTACTTGGATTAATGTGAAAGTAAGGTGATATCTGACTGATAGAGAGGATGAAGATTCAATTCCTGTAACCCACTAAGATAATATAAGATTGACATGGGGGTACTGATATGATCTTTTGACTTCTCTTATAGATCCTTTGGAATTTTGTTTAGCCTGTTGCAAACTGCATGGCTGCTTTAAATTTTTGTCTTGCTGCTTTAATTTTTGTTGTCATGGTCGTCTTTCTAATGCTATGCGTGTGCAACAGCGCACATGGCTACCTGCTAGTAGCAATAGATGTGTAGTGTTCAATTCAATCTGACTTACTTTTTCTTCTTTCAGGCGCTCACTTCAACTGCTGTGAAGAAAGGAGGACTCTCGACTGGGGATGTGGCAGCACTGTACAAGTATAAGAACACTATTATTGATGTTAAACTTGACACGGCATCCATTGTGGGTTACTTTTTCTTTTAAGGTTACTATTGAGTATGCTCTTGAGTAAATCATCTTGTTAACTTGCTCCTTTTTTCCCAGATCTCCACAACCCTCACATTCACTGACATTATTCCGTCCACCAAGACTATTGCTTCGATTAAGCTGCCTGATTATAATTCTGGCAAGGTATAGAAACTTGCATCTTCTGGCTGGGAAATTTGACTAACTGCTAGGCATCGTTTCTAAAAAATTGTCTGATTGGTTTTTGACAGCTAGAGGTTCAATACTTCCATGACCATGCTACCTTGACAACCGCTTTTGCTTTGAATCAATCCCCTGTCATTGATGTTTCTGCTACCGTTGGTACCCCAAGCATTGCTTTCGGTGGTGAGGCAGGCTATGACACTACATCTGGTCGTTTTACTAAATACACTGCTGGGATTAGTGTCACGAAAGCAGATTCATCTGCTTCAATAATCCTGTAAGCTGCTTTT